CAAAATCCAGGCTACACCGATTAAAACGTCGCTGGCATCAAATTAAAAATTCTGGTACTGTAATATTTTTTATTATTTTCAATTATTTCTAATACCATAATATGTCTATAATTTTTTTTACCCTTTTACTGATCGAGTTAATTCCCCCACCCTCTCTCTCATTATACTTTGTTTTTGGTTCTCTATTGATTTTGTAAATGTATTGATTTTATTTTATTTTTTGTGAGCAGTTATGGAAGAGATTATGTGCAGAGACTTTAACGAAAATCAACCTTCTTGCAAAGAACTGGAAGTATATTCTTGCCGGCTTAATTTTTCAAGTTGGCCACCTCTGCCCCTCCTTTTTGTCATTTTTTGCTTTTCTTTTAAGGTAATTTAGTCTTTTGCTTTCTTTATTTTTGCTCCTTTTATTTTCTGGGCTGGCGGATGGTTTTGATTGCATATATGGTCGGCTGATGACTTTGTCAATAGTAGTGTCTTAAATTTCTAATAGCGGTGACATACATTTATATCAAATCAGTGCAATGTGTTAGTATCACAAAATTCAACAGAGTTAATTAAATCAAAAGTTTTGACTTTCGTACTAAAAGTGGAATGGTGTGAAAAATGTTCGCACCTTCAAGCAAGATTATCAAATCGAATGTTTAGTATTTGTAAGTATTTCATTTTAATAACATTCAATTACATTCATTTGTAGAAATATATCATTCTTTTTTAATATAAATTTTTATTATTTTTTTAGGATTCATCTTTCCAAAAAAGACAGTTCTTAAATGATGTACATATTCTATCATATTTCAAGTTATTGTTAAGCAGATATTACATTTTAATTTTGTTGGTACAATTTTTACACCTATATTTGTTCACTCTTTTATTTTCATTTTTTTCAATAAAATCAGTACCGTGTGTAGCACGGGTATTCCCACTAGTATCTATATCTATATGTATGAGGGTTTTGGATAAGGAGCTACCAAAATTGTCAAAAGTTTGAATGCTATTTTAATAGAATTTTACATTTTTATAATTAAAAAATGTTTATCTCTTAACTAATCATGTAACCGCTGCTACAAATCCTATAATCATGCTCATATTTTTCCCATATTTTCCTCACGTTTTTTCCACTACCCCATAAAATTCAAACTTCTAAACTTTAACTAACAAATAATAACCACCCCTGTAAAATGATATCTGCAAATTTCAATTCACATCTCACATTTATTATTGACACTTATCATATCACTGATAGTAATAACTAACCGTTAATTTAAGAAATTCGCAACTACGAAAGTCAAATATCCAAAATTTAGTAGCCTGTTTAAATTACAATTTTCACAATTCAATGTATCTTATTGTCATAATAAATTTTACTCTCGCAATCATTCACAAATTATAAAGGGATTAAAAAATAAATAATTTTTAATAAAAAATTAATTCAAAAGTAGTTAATTCACACACACACGCATACATATATATATTCATAATATAAACTAAAATTATAAAAAATTAGGAGGGCTAACTTTTTTTTTACACAAATATTTACACAATATGAATTAAAATTTTTAAAACTTTGGGAAGAAGGGACCTATGGCCCCGATTAGCAACAATAACGTCTTAGTTCCAAACCTGCAAGATTACAAAAGAGAAAATAACTGATTACAAAATGAATTTTATACTATGGTGATCCCACCCAAATGTAGTTATTTCATGCACACACGCACACATATATACTTATATATATTCTCATAATATAAACTTATATTATAATAAATTTGGAGGACCAATTTTATTTTACACAAATATTTATATAATATGAATTAAAATTTTTAAAACTTGGGGAGGAGGCCTATGACCTCCATTAGCCCCCATCGGTTCCATTATTGATTTCAATGGTATCTTAATTTCAAACCTGTAAGATTACAAAGAAAAAAAAATAACTGATCACAAAGCGAATCTCACATCTTAGTGATCCCAATGAAATATTTTAAAAAGATTCAGCAAGTTCACTTCAAAAAAATACAAGTCTTGCTGAACTTTTTTTGTAGTACGAATTCTTCAAAATTCAATAGAATTAATTAAACCACCAATATTAATTTTCATACTAAAAGTTGATTGGTGTAAAAAATGTTCGCACCTTTGTACAAGATTATCAAACCGAATGCATAATATTGGTAAGTATTTCATTTGAAAATCGAATAAAACATGCAATTACATTTATTTCTATCCATATATCATTCATTTTCTAATATAAATTATTATTATCATTTTAAGATCCATCTTCTGCAAAAACACAATTCTTGAATGATTTATAGTTTTTGTCATACTTTGAACTATTGTTAGACAAATCTTAAATTTTAATTATGTTGGTATAATTTTATAACTTTTTTCAAATTAAAATGGTATAATCTTTTAATTTATTTTAATAATGTAAGCACCGTGCGTAGCACGGATATTCACACTAGTTGTCCTTGTATGACCGAGCCTAAGAGTTTGAGCATGTTTTGGTTGAATGTTATAATTCAAAATTTGGGGTTAGGAGGGAATAGGTTATATCCATTGTAATCAAAACTCAAACAAAGGTGGGGATAAGCCTGGTTGTCACAATGAACTATATAAAGTGAATTTTTTATTTATTTGTACAATGCTGCCTTATTTTTACGTGCATCAGAATGGATTGATTACAAGTTGCATTTGCTTGCCTTTTGTTAGAATTTTGGCTAATTAACAAATTATACTAATTGTAGAAAAGTAAGTTTGTAATCATTTTCAATTTTTGAAAAGTTTGAAAGTTTGGATAACAATAACAACAAATCTTCCTAGTTACATGTAGAATATCAATTGTTTCTATATCACAATTTTTATAGTTTAACACTTATGAATATAATAAGATAAAATTATTATTTTATAATACGATAAAATTTTATTATTTTCTAAGGTTATGTGAAAGGTCAATATATTTTTCATAGAATATTTTAAAATATATAAGTACAAAAGAATATTAAATTATACATATAATCATGTATTATACAAGTATGTTACGAGTACTTACTAACTAATGTACTAAATTTTAATATGTTACGAGTACTTACTAACTAATGTACTAAATTTTAATCATTTATAAAATATTTTATTCTTATTTCAAATAAGCTTCCTAGTATTGATTTGGTATAAGCCATAAAGGATTCAGTGATTTGAGTCAGCTACTTCTGTGTTAATTTTGACTGTGGTTAACAAACTCAATGATTTAGTCCGTCTACTTTAGGTTAGTGGGAAAATGGGTCGCAGTTGGCTGGAATAAAATTGTAATAAACCCGTTTTTCAATAAAAAAAAATGAACTCTTTATGACTTTCCTTCATTATAAGAATAGAGTACCCATTTTCCTAAAAAAAATTATTTATCGGATAAAATAAAAATAAACCCATTTTTCAATAAAATCCTAACTCTTTATGTCTTTCCTCTATTATAAGAACCGTGTACCCATTTTGTCATAAATAAATTTATTTATCGGATAAAAAAATTATTTATCGAAAATATAAAAATGAACCCGTTTCTCAATAAAATATCAGCTCTTTATGGCTTTACTCCCTTATAAGAAAAGAGTATCCATTTTGCCATAAATAAATTTATTTATCGGATAAAATAAAAATAAACTCTTTTTTCAATAAAAAACCAGTTCTTTATGACTTTCTTCCATTATAAGAATATAGTACCCATTTTTCTAAAAAAAAATATTATTTATCGAATAAAATAAAAATGAACCCGTTTTTCAATAAAATATCAACTCTTTATAGTTTTCCTCTATTATAAGAACAGAGTACCCATTTTTTCATAAATAAATTTATTTATCGAATGAAAAAAATATTTTTTAATAAAACATCAATTTTTTATGGCTTTCCTCCATTTACTACAACAAAAAAGGGGTATTAGCGACAACAACTTTAGCAAGAAGTAGAAAACTTGACGCTATTAAGAGGCTTATAGCAAGGAAAAGGACATGTTCCAAATCCTTGCTTTAAGATTAACAAAAACAAAAGGTGGCAAGAGAGAACAATATTTCTAAGGAAGGCAATGGGGCGGTCACCGGCCCCGCATGGGGCGGGGCGGGGGGAATTTTTTAACCCCCGCTTAGAAATGGGGTGGGGCGCCCCACCCCCGGCTCATCCCCTGCCTTGCCACCCGCTTTAAATATATATATATAATATATATGTATGTATATAATTATATATATAATATATAATTTAATTAGTTACAAACTTATGACAATGATATTATTAGTTATATGTATTATATAATGTATATTAGTACATGTAATATAATTGATATTATCAATTATACTAATAATTATATATATGTACTCATACAAATTATTAATTGGTTATACTAAATTTACTAATACATTTATACTAAAACCCTAATTACACTTAATACAATAACATTTTTTTCTCAAAAAAAAGCACAAGCACAATAATGAATTAGTGATTGTATTTGTATTAAAAGTAAAAACTTGACTACTTTAGTTGTATTTATTACATCATGTTGGATTGTATTCAAATAATTTTTGTTTGATTGTTTTTACAAGTTTCAATTGTGAAATTACAATAAATGGTAATTTGATGATGTGTTGAAATTTTAGTACTTGATTATTTGTTAAAGTTTAACTACAACAAAATTATATAACAAATTTTTATTAGCCCCACGAGGGCACTCGCGGCAGAAGCGGGGATGGGGCGGGAAAACATTCTCCGTTATATTTGTATAGAATGTGGCCAGTAACAGCATAAAAAGAAGAAGAAGAAGAAGAAGAAATGTGAACAGGGACCAAGCAAGATAACAGGTAGGCATTTCCTGATACAAATAACTGCTTGTTTTCAGTTCTGAAAGATAGAAGTCAAGTAACATAGCAAAGTCATTTGATAACCAAACACAATGGAAAATATAGTCTCTAAACTTTGAAAACAAGGCAGTCAAGAAAACAAGATGATAGGTAATTTTTTTTCTACGAGATTTATATGGACGTTCTTAGAGCTACAAGATCCTCAAAATCATTGCATGATAGAATGAGGGATAAGCAGATATTGAACAACTTCAATGATTCTCTGATAAGTCGTCTCTGGGAGTTGTTATGCTGCAGCTCTAGCTTTGTGGATTCTATGAAAGATGAGATGCCAATACTCTATGCAGGACTGAGGTTTTTGAGAAGCATTTTAAGGGAGCAGCAGGAGAAGATGAATGAGCAAAACGAAAAAATTGGTGCTCTTCTTTGTGAGGCAGGCATTATAATTTGCTCGCCTTCTCTAAACAGAGTGAAGGAAGGAGAAGTTAGCTTCTTAGAATCCACAGAGGTCCTTGACTGTTGTGATATGCTGGCTAATACCAACACCCATCTCAAGCATTTTAAGGATCAGATCAGTGGCTCAAGCGTTATTGAAAGTCTTCCTTCCTTTCATAGCTTAAGAGCACCAGAAGTTAGCAAGACTTCCACCCACATGCTATCAAAAGGTAAAATGCCAATAGCCCATGAAGTCATGGTTGGTCTTGATGATGAGGCAGAAAAAGTAATTGAACGACTTGTAAGCGGATCAAAACAGGTGGAAATTGTTCCCATTGTGGGAATGGCTGGGCTTGGTAAGACAACTTTAGCCAAAAAAGTTTACAATGATAGTTCAGTAATCTATAACTTCCACATTCGTCTTTGGTGTATAGTTTCTCAAGCCTATAACATGCAAAATGTGTTACTTCAAATTTTACACTCTGATGGCAAACATTCGAGGATGGATGATGAGTTTCAAAATCTGGATGAACATGCGTTGCTTCAAAAGCTCTACCAAAAGCTGAAGGGGAATCGGTATCTTGTTGTTTTTGATGATGTCTGGGACATTGAAGTATGGAATGAGCTGGGAATTTCATTCCCGGATGACAAGAAAGGAAGTAGAATCATCTTCACAAGTCGATCTTCTAATGTGGCTTCACAGGTTGAATATGGGGGGAAACCTCACAATCTTCGCCCACTCAGTGAGAAAGAAAGTTGGGAATTACTGCAGAAGAAGGTTTTTGGAAAAGAAGATTGTCCTCAAGCATTTCATGGATTGGGAATGGAGATCGCCAAAAAGTGCAAAGGATTGCCACTTTCAATTGTTGTTGCAGCTGGAGTCCTAGCAACTATAGAGCATGATATTTGTGTTTGGGAAGGATTTGCTGAAAGTTTAAGTTCAACCACGGTGTCTGATGCAGAACAATGCAAAAAGTCGATGGAGCTCAGTTATGAGCATTTACCATATCACTTGAAGGCCTGCTTGCTGTATTTTGCTGCATTTCGAGAGGATGAAAAAATTTGTGCCAAGAAGTTGATGTGTCTCTGGATTGCAGAAGGGTTTGTGGAAAAAATTGAAGGAGAGAGACTGGAGGACATTGCAGAAGAATATTTGATGGACCTAATTGGTCGAAACCTAGTTATGGTAAGTGAAAACAGATCCATTGGAGGAGTCAAAACTTGTTACATTCACGATTTGATATTTGAGTTCTGTAAGGGTGAGGCGAAAGAAAAGAAATTTCTTCAGGTCCTGCGAGGATATGATGAGCTTTCTATCTTTAATGAACCTCCCAACCTACCTCGGTTGTCCATTTGCTCCAGTGAAGAGGATTTTATAAAGTCAAAGCTATTTTGTCCATATTTAGGTACTCTGGTATTCTTTGATGCTACTCCAGGACGTAATAAGTTTAAGTTGCTTAATATCTCCTTCCTTTTTTGCATCTACAAACATCTTAAAGTTCTGAATTTAGAGGGCATTAACCTAAGGCTGAAGGAACTCCCAACTGAAGTCGAATCACTTCTTTGTTTGAGGTACTTAGCCCTTACAGCTTGGAAAATGAAATTCATTCCCCCATCTATAGCCAATCTCTCACATTTGGAAACCTTTCGTCTAAAATCTGGTGAGAAGATTTCATTGCCGGACAGTATCTGGAACATGAAGAAGTTGAGGCATGTACATGTAAGGCGTGTTTGTCTTCCTTCCAATAAAAACGTTGTGAAAATTCTCTGCACCCTACACAATTTAGACACACTCTCTACTCTGTGTCTTTTTCGTCGAGGGGAAGAGAACATATTGAGAAGGATTCCCAATATTCGCCAACTTAAAATTTTCAATTGTTGGGGAAAAAGAAGTGTGCGCTGCGACATGAGTCGACTAGAATGCCTAGAATCACTCACCTTAGGGGGCTACAACTTCTCAGGTTCACGGGAACATGTTGGGCTTTCTTTTCCCAAGAATTTGAAAAAGTTGTGTCTTTCCAACCTGGGTCTATCCTGTCGAAAAATGTCATTGATTGAACAATTACCCAATCTTGAAGTCCTCAAATTAAGACAGCGGTCAATGGACGGCCAAAAATGGGAGTTGATGGAAGGAGGATTCCCTAAACTCAGGGTCTTGACGTTGGAAGATGTAGAGGTTGTGGAGTGGATAGAGACAGACCATGACAGTGATGATTACTTCCCGTGCCTTCAGCAATTAAAACTCCACAGAATTTCTTATTTGGAAATGATGCCTGCTTGTTTAGGGCGTATACCAACTCTTGAAACCATTAAGATGAATGTTTGTGGAGATGGTGTCAAATCTTTAGTATGGGAAATTGCAGAAGAACAGAAAAATTATGGAAATGAGAATCTGAAGATCATTTATGGAAAATATTGAAGGGCATCAGCGGGTACAATATCAGGTAATTTGTTTTGTCATTACCATTAATTGGCTTGCAGAAATAATCTATATTTAGCTTTTGGTAGTTTTTTTTGGTAATGCAGGCATGAAATTGATAACAAACAACTAATTATTGCTCTATTTTTTTCTTAATGATATCATCAGGGAGTGCTACGGTAGTGCTCATCTGTGTGGTTTGGCTTTCTTTGGTGCTTTTGTAGAAGATTTGAGGTGACAGTAGGCTCTTTTCTTGTCAAGATATGGTGGAAACAATGAATGAGGCTTGTACACCATTCACAATTTTATCAATCTGCATGGCAGCATAAAGGCCATGCAGATAATTTGCTGTTGGCGTATTTTGTGTAATTTCGTTTTGCTGAATTTAGTAATGGTTGTGTGTTATTTCTTTTCAAACATGTGTGAATTTGCTGAATTGGGACAGTGTACGAAGATACTGCGCAAATGGTTGGCCTTTTGCTCTCAAGAAACTCTGTTATCTTTTTTCATTTTTTTCCTATTTGAGGTAGAAATTCCATCATTTTGACAGAATTGATTAACAATTTCTATTTGGACTCACGATTCTTGGAAGAATAAGACAGCCCAATTTGGGAATTAACAACATACTTTTGATCTACAAATTCATGTCAAAATGAAACCTATATGATCTTCTCTTTTCTGCTCAAAACAGGTTTAAGATAAAAGTTGCAATTGGGATCGCAACAGGCATTGCGTGGGCTTGATCAGGATAGAGTAGTACTCCGTCGTAGAATTGGTTGAAGATGTATGCTCAATCTTAATTTTGAATCCAGGATATCCAACTTTGAAATTTGCTAAATTTTCAGAATCATATTTTGCTTCTTCAAGTTAAAGAATTTTGGCAAAGAATGAAGTATGGACTTAGGTTCCTTTAAGAAAGATGTATGCAACTTGATTTCCTGCTGCTTGAGCTATTTGCTGGAAAGGACGTTAGTAAAAATAATTAATTCTCCAAAGAGCTTCAAAGGTCATATGATTGTATGGATATTTAATCTTCTATTTTTGAATTCCACACTATAAAATATCCAAATTGTAGAGAAAACATGTATAAACTTCACAATTGTAGAGTAGGTCGATGCCTATATTTATTTGTAGGCTATGACAAGTGAACCTAGACAAGTAATACAATGAATTTTGGGCTAATTAACATAGAATCAAATGAAAAAAAAAATGAGATTTGAATAATTTTAAAAGCCTCTGCTTGTCAAGCTATGCTAATAGATGGTCGTATTCCAACCGTGCAATTACTCTGCTATATGATGACGGTTCAACTAAGTTGATACTTTTAGTGCTGGAGGGTATTGATAATGTACTTACCAAAGTCAATAAATTATAAGCTCAGAATCCAAAATAATTTTTTCTAAAAAATATATATAATCTTTTAGTTTAATAGCAGATTTTATTTCCTCTAAATCTTGCAGCAGAAAAAATAGCATCTATGTTCTGCTTGCTTGTCATCATAATCCCAATTAACTATATATGCTACTCAGTATTCTGCTTTAAAAACCGAACTGAAAGGTAAAAATTTCATTGTCACTTATCAAGTTGAGGTCAATTTGGAAACTAATAGGACTTTTTGTGCAGTACTCTTCATGTGCCATGAATTTATAGTAGCATTATTCTACAAGGATCACCTTGAGTCTACTTTACGCTATAACTTTGGAAGGTAAAGCATATAATGTAATTTTTTTCAACAATAGTTGTTCAAGGTAACTTGTTACATCCATAGTTAGCTTCATTACATACTTGGCTATGGGACTAAGTTCCTTTCCATTGCATTGCAATGCAAAAAAAAAAAATTCTCTCCACTACACCCTAATAAAATAAATTTAAAAGTTATTTTTGAAAATCAACACTATTCATAATATATTTCATCACTCGTATTAGTTACACACAAAATTTTGTATAAATTTGATTAAGTTTTCTTGCTAATTAATCATTACACATTTTGTTATAATTTTGACTCATTTTTCACCATTCAAATGTTTAGTGTAAATTGAATGCCAAAGTATAAGCAAAAGAATACCATTTCTTAATATGTTAATCTAGAGATGAGAAGTGGAGAGAACAATGGAGAGGAATTCAATGGAGTGGATACTAACCCCTTGGCTATGGCCTAGAAAAATGATAATCGTATACTTGTTTCCTTGTTTAGACTAGCTTTTTCTGATGAGAATGATGGATAAATATGTTAATGGGATTACCAAGGGAAGGCATTGACAGGTTGTGAGCCAATCAAAAATAAAATATCTACTCTGAAAAATAAGAGTTTGTATGCAATGGTGATTAGAATCATCTCAATAGAGATTGGATTGATTTATTTCCTTTCAAAGCAATGAATAAAAGGGGTGATCTTGGAGATTAAACTAACTAATTAGTTTAAATACAAAATAAACATACGAAAATTAACCAAGATTAAATTAACAATGATGGAGCTCTAGCAAAAGAAATAATATCAAAAAAGGTTCATGCAATTGATTCTTGATACAAAGATAATTCAAATATTCGTGAATAAATTGGTTATAATTGTCAACAAACTCTAACGACCAACCTTTCATTATTTTGTTGACCATTAACAATTTTTATAGGATTTAATCTTTTAAGAGTATTAAAGATTAGAAAACTCCAATTCCAATCAACAAATATGTTACGAGGGTTCGTTTAAATTAGATTGTATATTTCCTTGACAAAAAACCAATCATGCCAGTTGTCACAAATATTAAAATAGTCAAATAATTATAGATTTTATTGTCTCAATTGGCAATAAACTATTGTGAATAATCATATATTGTGTACCTATTTAATCACACACGGTAATCATTACAGGCATAATATAGGAAATATACAAATAAATAAAAATAAATTAGATCTCACAATTGTCGTGAACCAATTCTTCAATTATTCTTTGACTACCAAAGTACGATTAACCACACCCCGCGGAGAAAATACCTAAAGAGAAAAAATATCGACGTTTTTGTGTCTTGGGAGAAGAGGAAAGAAAAACTAGCTACTCTAATCCTCTTCTTTAAATGAGAGCAAGAGTTGAGAATATATCGATCTTTTGTAATAGCTCACACAGAGTGGAATGATAAGAATCAGAGAAGGAGATAGAAGGAGATAAGGAAGGAGATCACAGAATAAGGGAGAAGGGAGAGAGGGGGTAGAGAGAAGGAAAAAGACTGATAAATTTTTGAGGAAGAAGAACTGAATTACAATCAAGCTACTTCTCTATTAGACGGACACCTTATTTATACAAATCACAGTCTTCAGCACAAGAATCCATCTGCAAATGGTTAACTAATTTTCCCGCCACATAACTAACTTTCCAATTCTGTTGTAACAATGCTCAGTCACGTGACCCTTCCTCTGTGATCACATTTCCTCTGCTCATTTCCTTGCTGACTCATCTTGGATGCTTGTACATGAAGTCTGAACTGTTACTGGCCATAACAATACCTCCCCCTAAAAAACAATCCTAGTCTCTAGGATTGACTGATTGTGAAAGCAGGAAATTGAGCATGAATGAACGACAGGTCCTCCCAAGTAGCCTCCTCAGGTTCCATGTTTTCCCACTGCACCAACACCTGATCAATTTCCTGACCCTTCCTAAAAATTGTTCTCCTATCCAATACTGCTGAGGGAACTACCTCAAACTCACCATCTGCATTCAAGGTAGGCAAGGTAGTGCTGACTGGAGCCTCCTTAGATGACTTCTTAAGCAATGAGACATGAAAGACAGGATGGATGTTAGAGCCTGTAGGTAGCTGCAACCTATAGGCTACAGTTCCCACTCTCTGTTTCACCTGATAGGGTCCATAGTACTTGGCCGCCAGTTTTAAATTCCTTCTCACGGCCACAGAAGTTTGTTTGTACGGTTGGAGCTTCAGATAAGCCCACTCTCCTACTTCAAATTCCCTATCACTCCTCCCCTTATCAGCCAACTGTTTCATTCTATTCTGAGCCTTTAGCAGGTTCTCTCTGAGCAAGGCATTCCACCCCAGTCTCTCCTGTGCCCACTCTTCCACTGCAGCTACTAATGTGCCATCAGGCCTCAGATTTAGCTGAACAGGTTTGTAACCATACAAGGCCTGAAAAGAAGACATTTGCAGGCTGCTATGATAGTTGGTGTTATACCACCATTCAGCCGCAGGGAGCCATTTCCTCCACTTCCTTGGTTGATCCATGCATACACTTCTCAGATAGTTCTCCACACATCTATTAACCCTCTCAGTCTGTCCATCAGATTGAGGGTGGTAAGCAGAGGAAAGGTTGAGCTCTGTGCCCAGCATTTTAAAAAGTTCCTGCCAGAATAAGCTAGTAAAAGCCCTATCCCTATCAGAGACAATGTGTGTTGGTAAGCCATGCAACCTAAAAATTTGATCAAAGAATGCCTCTGCTACACTTTTAGCTGTGTAATGTGTGGTCATAGGAATAAAATGTGCAAATTTAGTAAGCCTATCCACCACCACATAGATGACATTGCAGCCAAACGACTTAGGTAACCCCTCAATGAAATCCATAGAAATTTGTTGCCAAGCTTGCTCAGGTATAGCTAATGGCTGCAGCAGTCCTGGATAAGAGCAATTTTCATTCTTACTCCTTTTGCATATATCACAACTCTGTACATATTGTTCCACCTCCTTCTTCATCCCAGGCCAATATACATAACTCTTGATCCTCTGATAAGTTCCATGATTTCCAGAGTGCCCCCCAAGGCAAGAGTCATGGAAGCAGGAGATTAACTTTTGTCTTAACTCAGTGCCTGCTCCTATCCATATCCTACCTTTAAACCTCAGAATTCCTTGGTGATAAGAGTAGCCAGGCAGTGCATCAGCTCCCATAGCCAACTTCAATAGTACTCCTTTAGCTATTTCATCACCAGTGTAGCTCTCAGCTACCATTGTCAACCATTGGGGTTTAATAGTAGTGAGAGAATGCGCAGATGCTTCTACTGGACCTTCCTGCTCACCTCTTCTAGACAATGCATCTGCAACCACATTGTCCTTACCCCTTTTATACTGAATCTCATAATCCATTCCCATTAGTTTAACCAACCATTTCTGCTGAAGGGAAGTGTTTATTTTCTGATCCGGCAAGTATTTGAGACTCTCATGGTCAGTCTTTATAATGAAATGGTTTCCCATCAAGTAATGTTTCCATTTTTGAACAGCAGTGATGAGTGATAGCAGCTCCTTCTCATAAGTGGATCTGATCTGATTTTTTTGTCCCAACACCTGACTGTAGTAGGCTATAGGTCTCCCTTGTTGCATCAGAACTGCCCCAATAGCTACCTGACCAGCATCAGTTTCCAACAGAAATGGCTTTGTAAAATCAGGTAAAGCTAACACTGGTGCCCTGCTCATGGCCATTTTCAACTGCTGGAATGCAGATTCTGCAGTCGTACTCCATGCAAACTGATCCTTCTTTAGTAGCTCAGTGAGGGGTTTGGCAA